ACCGATTTTTGAATAGCTTAGTATCACCCCATAATCAGAACTAATTATGAGTTTTATGACTTATTGCTTTTTTGTGGGTTCGGATGAAAACCTCTACACACGTGGCTGGTATTTCTTTTGTTTTTATACCTAAACAGTACATATAGTATTCCCTTTTAAATTATGAATCCTCATCACGGAGGTAAACATGTGTTAATAGCTTTGACAGGAATGGTACCGAACGTGTTTAGCTGAAGGAATAGTTTCCATGCAACCGCTAGTAAATATTTAGAAAAAAATGTATTTTCCGAACTTGAGGTCACCAGGTGACCTATGTGAGATTAATAGAAGCTCTCAACCCCTTGGTTGAGATTGGGGTATCTCAACCTGAGGGGGAGATTCTTAAGTTGACAAACACAAAGCTTTTCCGATTGATTGGACTTCAGACAGAAACTTAAGATTCCCCTATCTAACCCTCAAGGGGTGACTAATTCTTGTTCTCTTACCCTGTTCACCCATAATGTATCATATACATAACGTAATGTTAACGTTACAGGCTATATTCAGTGTTGATGTGACGTTGATAGATTGTTGACGTGACGTCATTGTATTGTTGACGTGACGTCATACTATTGTTATGAATAGGGGAATCCCTCCGTCTAAGCCCTAGGGTGAGACAAGGATATATCACACTGTCCAGTGTAAGAGAAAGATGTATCCCACATGACATTGGATACGTGCGTCTTGCAAAAGTGGGAGATATATTATATACATATCTCACTTAATGAACACTTATGGTCATCTGTGATATGTGAGGAGAGAGATTTGTTTTATCTTTATTTTTTGATTGCTGTAAGAACATGTAAAATTTGACCTTGGAACGATGTACATGTATCTGTTACAGACGACTACCTCACCACCGTTTGTATCATCTCTTGCTGTTCATTACTTTATGTAAAAGAGCTACTGGTTAATTTAAATTACGAAAGTGGATCTAGACAAATGTTCATAGATAATAAAACCTGTGTATGAACTTGTCTTGGCATCATGGATCCCTGTACCATTGCCAAAACTGTAACTTCGTACATATCTAAACATTTCGGGAAAGAAAACCACTAACATGAAGATTACTGCATATACAAATAGAACAAAGTGCAGTGGGACTGGTATCTCATGTATTTGTCAGGTTTGTTTCACTAAAAGAAATCAGTCGGTGAAATATCATCTGAGAAGCTTTACAAACATACATTTGTGTCAGCAAGGTAATATGTTCAGAGACTGCAGCTTGTTTTGTTGTACATATTATCTACTACATACAAAAAACAAAACAGAAAATAGAATTGTTGTTAAAAGGTCATTTAGTTATGACAGGTACACTACAAGTTCACAATTTGTATTATCAAATATAAGTTATGTTGGATAATACATAGATCAGAAATACATTTACTTCTGTTTATATGTAACAACAAAGTTGGGATACGAATGATAGGCTCAACAATACAAACAATAGTCAGCAATTTACATATAAGCTGGCTCAAGACTTAATAAAAGGCGGTGGGATAAGGGTGGGATTTAAAGTGAACAACATCCAAAGCACAGATATTATTATTCCAAAAATGTGCGGACCTTCTTCGAAGTGATGCAGAGGGGAGTCGGACAGACTCTCTCAGAGGTGCGCACATCGCTGATTGGCCAAGCTGGATCCATTGACCATAGGGCACGATGACCCCACCAGCTGATCCCGTGTACACGGTATGATGATTGTTCAAGCTTGACCATAGGGCTTAATGTCCTAATAAGCCGATGGCAGGCTATCCCTTAGTAACACGAGTGTGGTCATCCCATGAACACGTGATCATTATAAATAGATAACAGATGGTCAACAGCTGGGTGCTGTTCTGGAGCAGGGACATTACTGTCAAGAGCCAACATATATAATATGCAAAACACAAGTTTGTAATGATAGACTCTAAGTGAACTTATTATACATAAAGTTACCATCTTACACAAATGTATTTATTTTTACAAAATAAATTTAATATTCATAATTTAAAAATAACACTTAACTGTTTTCTATGTTTGTGTTTTGTGTTTGCTTTTGGTTTTGGTTGTGTCCTTTCAGTTAGGGAATAATACTACTGTATTTTGAATTGTATGGCATTATATTGTTATGAAATTATATATTCACTGTTTTTTCCCCACTAGTACACTGAATGGAATGTATACATGTGTTGAAAGCTTGTCGGTCACGTATAATGAACATTGACCTTGTACATTGTGCACAGCCTGTAAACACTGTGTGACTGCACTTTGCCTGTTTAACGACTGATTGATTGAGTGGTTTTACGTTTTTGGTTATCCAGCAGACGATTCTTTGTCTGATTTACTGCGTATGTGTATACCGTTGGACGAGTCCGTGTCATTGTGTATTTTTATACTTGGCAATCTGCCTGACGACATCAATTTACCTAATGTTCATAAAAACCTTTATTTATTGAAAACCAGTAATATTCCTACAGAAAGAATGTTTTGGTATAGTATCCACTGCTTGACACCCTACATATCACTACCTACTAATGAACTAGTCGGTAATGGTTCCTGGGTCAGACACGTAAAATTAGCTAAACAGTGGGTGTAGCAAATGGGTAGTGTGTTTAAAATATGTAAATTTTGTAACAAATGTAGAACATGATAGCCAGCGCCCCAGTCACACTGTGCCGGTATATAGCCACGGTGAGCTACGGCGGTGCGATCCGGGGACATCCCTGTGTATCCGTTGCGAGTCCGTATTGAAAGCGGTGTCATCCGTGTTGATCCGTTTTGATCCTGGGTGTTCCGTAGCTTGCTACAGTAGTTTTAAACAGCTTAAAACATCCGAGGTCATCCGTAGTCTAGCTACGGTATTTTGAAAACCGTAGTATCAACGTAGTACCACCGGCCTTTCCATTGGACCGCCGTAAAACCGCTGTGCAAGCTCTCGTGGCCATTCTGGGTGACCGTTGTGTTTGGGAGTCATGCCGACTCAGAGCAACACTAGGGAGACTCACTACATTACTAAGGTGTTAGTTCGACCACCGCCGATTCTGGTACGGTGCACGGTGGTCTAACACGGCATGTGCCGTTTCTACTAAGATTTCATTATGATGACACTATGAAGATCCATGATTGATCCAGGATTTCGTAGTTGTAGCACACTTTTATTGTTGACCACTCTCTGCTGACTCTGTGTCAGTCTGGTTTCAGGTCAGGAAATCCCATTCTCAATCAGTTATTATATGTATACAACAATATCTTAACTCCGCGCTAGACGAGGGAAAATAACTCTGTGTGTTTTTTGTTACATAAGCAAGGCCTTTTTAAGAGTGTCTCACCGGGGTCTATTGCGTAAGTTGTTTAACGGCGGAATTGATGTTCAACTGCTCATTTGGGTCGAAAATAGTTAACATAATTTTAAACAGAGAAGCGTTATCAATATACCAATTATAGGCCCGCTTCCTTTTTCTTATATTTATTAATGATATAGTAGACAGCATACATGTAATGTTTAAACCATTCGCTGATGAAACGTCAGTATACCTCATTATTGATATAACCGTTGTCTATGCAAATATTCTTAAATGATAACCTTAACAAATACAGCCCTGGTCTGAGTTATGGCTTGTTAAATTTTCCCATCAAAAACTAAAACATTAACAATAAGTAAGAATATAATGAACCTCCTCCTTTATAAATGAACAATATTCCTCCTCAGCAGTTTAACTCCGACCGACACATTGGTGTTGAACTCTCTACAAATGGGGAGAGGGAGATGGGCAAACCACATTGAGCTTAAATAAAAAGCTATGATTAATGAAAAGGTTGAAATTTAAAATCGACAGAAAGTCAATGCAGATTATGTGTTTTTCTTTTATAAAACAAGTTCTGGAATATGCAAATATTGTTGGGGAGAATATGACGATAAAGCAGTCAAAAATATTAGAATGAATTCAGTTACATGCGGCTAGAATCGTAACTAGGGGAACCAAACTTAAAATTAGGGAAGGACTTTATAGAGAAAATGGAAGGACAAGTCTTTTCACCAGACGTAAAGATATTAAGAATATTCAATAACATAAAACAGCTCACGGTGTATCACCGTCCTACCTCACTGATGTACCTTCTCCTCGTCAATCTGATATGTATAGACACAACACAAGAGCTACAGAGTACTTCCGTTCAGTTGCGTGTAGAACACAATTATACAACGACTGTGGATCTTTGGAATTCCCTGCCTTCATATGTAAGAAACACCCAACCACTATATACCCTAAATAATTATTTAAATATCTGACACCAAATAGTCCAAATTATTTTTTCAATGACCTCTAACTAGGACAAAACTAGCTAACTAACATTCCTGATTTCGAATGCAACGCAGTACACTTAATGACCAACTTTTCAGGAAAACAATATAGTTGCAAGTCCTTTTTATAACTTTTTCATATCGAAAAAAGAAACTAGTGAGGTTTTCCTCTTATCTTGTCCTAATTATACCAGATGTAGACATCTTTTTCTTGTAAATATTTTCCTGTTGAATTCGTAGGCATTCGCGTTACATCTTAAATTAGCATGGCATTGAGGTTGTGCTGTATACATGTGATGTCCTCAGAATGACAATGTATCAGTACCCTTAACATGTTTGCGACTTTCTTCTTTCTGATACATTGTATAAGCCCACTTATTTACGCCCAGCCCCACTTTCATTGACGTTGCTTGAAGCGCATTTGAATGAACTTTTTTCTGGATGTATTATCATCAGTAAATTTGAAGAAATATACATATATATATTGCTTATAAATGTTAGTAATAGTATTTATGTCAACGTCAGTATAATTGTACACCTGAGTGTACTTGGATTCATATGCCCAGAAATAAATATCAACAGAGATCGGTTAATGTAGGTACATCTATGTCCTGGATGACAAAAATGTACACGTAATGTGTCTCCATGAATAAGGTCGCGATTCCGGCATCATTAAGAACGCTGTCATGCATGAAACGTAATACTCTGGTTTCTGTTCTAATCACAGGTATCTGTGACGCATACATTTGTACATTTTGAACGTGACCTCCTTGCCTTACAAAAGTCGATATTTATATCCGTCGCATTGTGTATTTACACGTAGACCTAGCCAACGGAACTACCCTAGACGATAACACACATGTTACGTTAATATATTGCGGGTTTCCGGTAATTGCTTCGATAGTAATTGATCAGTTGAGGTTTGATACGAATTTCAGCAGGTAAGTTGTTAGTTGTAAAAGGAATGCTATTTTGTTAACTTTCGTAATCTGTGACAGACGTTTAGATTTTGACTTTTGACTCTTAATATTTATCCTATTTTGATTATACAAAATAAATATGTATTGAGTAAATCATTATCCATTTTGAATGTAGAATTTTCGAAAAAGCTTTCCTTTGATATAATATTTACAGTATTTACAATCAAGTCCAGTCGTTTCAATATTCACTTCCGGTAGCCATTTCAACCGAAATAATCTACTTAATTTACAAGAAAAAAGCAGATTACAGATTAAAACAAACTTTATGTATCTATCACCGGTCTGACTTGTTATCACTTGGGACCCTAGGTAACTTGGGAACTTTAGGTTACAAATGATGACACATTATGTCAGTTCCACTTCCTTTATTTTAGTCCAACTTCATATCTTATACATGGAAAGTTAATTGTTCAATCCATTCCCTTCTGTTTCCAACTCCATTCTTTCTCCTTTAGTTCTCCTCAGTCTCACTTCCCAAGATCTCTCTCTAATTCTATCTCTGTCTATCTCTGACTCTGTCCTTGGACTCTCTCCTTCAGCTCTCTCCTTCTACTCTGTCAACCTTAGATATCTACCATTTATAAAGACAATCTAACACTACTTCTGCTTAACTAAATCTTCTAATTCTATTGGCTAATTCCATCCCCGGGAGGCGGGGCTACATTTCTCTTTTACACGTCTTTTGACGACCATTTTCCTGTCTAAGGACCACGATTAACTTATCAATGCATTATACTAAATTGACCTTACATCCACACACCATTGTCCTCCAACCCTTCACACAGACATTTTCACACATTCTATTCCCCTTTGAGTTCCTACCACCATGTGTGCCCTGGTCATCTCCTTTGTTGTGAAGTTATTTGAAATTGTACCTTCGTTATCTCAGCCTTATACTAAAATGACATGCATATTATGGTATATCTCACGTGATATGGTTTATGTAGTGCTTGAACATTGAAATATAATAGAGACTCACAGACTTAACAAATAAAGGTGTACTTATTCTATAAATAACGGTCACTATACTACTCTAAGGTAAGTTAATATACAACTATGTTTATAATATACATGCTTTTTACATATCGATCTGTTTACAACTGAGCTCGGTTAATGTCCCAAAAGGTAACACATATATTGTGTCTCGAGGAATAAGGTCACAACTTTGCATAAGGACAAAACGCTGCCATGCATGACAGATACTACTGTGGTTTAAGTTTTAACCAAGGGTAAATGTATATATGTATGATATCTTTGTACCTGGCCATGGCTTACAAAAACATATATATTTTAATTTTGCCGCAGTGTGCCTATACACGTACAATGTTGACCCTCATGTAGACACAAGTAAACAACCTGGTTTACAACAACGACGCATGATGCTATTTTGAACTAGTCTGGTTTTTCCAATAAATTCTTAATTAAATAATGATATAATCGATCCGTTGTGATTCAGAACGAAACTCAGCGGGTAAGACATGTTTAAATCTAAGTTGTAAATTGTTAAAAAAACATGTTGATACCTCTACTTTTGAAACTGTGATAGATTTTTTAATCAACACCTATTAAACTATTTCATTTGGGTTTATAGTTCGACATTTTTCATTTGACTGTTTGTTATCACATTGCACAAAAATAATGAATAACAATGTACCTAGTAAAACTGTAGAACATTCCAATTGATAACAAATGTATACTTTTGTCAATCAAATACCTCGTTACATTGTACTATGTACAATTCCGGTAGTCATTTAAACGGTTTAAACCAACACAGCCACTGTGAAGATTCTACTTAGTTTGCAAAATTACACATTACAAGTTATGTGTATTTCCTCTTTTAACAACAATGTTTCTTCTCTGCGATAAGTGTTTTATGTAAAGCTAGTGTAATTTCTAATTTCGTTATCACAACCTTTTTCTAAGAAATAGCATGCAGATTGTTCTCGAATAGGGTATTGTTCAATACCCGTTCGCTCTCGTTAACCACGTTATGTGGTTTATGTAGTGCTTGAACATGTAAATTATGATAGAGACATACATGACTTTTCAGACACGGACATTCTATAAGTAACGGTGAATATACTACTATGAGGTACAAGTAATATACAGTTATGTTTATAATATACATGTTATTAATATATCGATTTGTTTATGAATGAGTACATGTGTTTGTTTGTTTCCTTGTAGAATACACTCCATACTGAAATAACCATGGACCGTTGACAGACAGAAATGTTGAGATGACGCAAAACTCCGTTTGGTGTAAGTTTTTATTAATCATAAATTGAAACTAGGGTAATTTCATTTGAAATGTGTTTGATAGCCAAACATAATTTTTTGGAAGTAGATATGCTTTCGCTTTTTGCTGTGAAGGGGAGATGATAAGTCTGTGTAGTTAGGTTATGAATTTGATACCATCTGAATCATATATATGAGTGTATCCTTTCTTTCACCGAATTTTGAAAAGCTTAGTATCACCCCATAATCAGAACTAATGATGAGTTTTATGACTGATTGCTTTTTTGTCGATTCATATGGAAACTTCTACACACGTGGCTGGTATTTCTTTTGTTTTCATAACTAAAAAGTACATATAGTATTCCTTTTTAAACTATGAATCATCATCACGGAGGTAAACGTGTGTTAACAGCCTTGAAAGGAATGGCATCGAACGTGTTTAGCTTAAGGAATAGTTTCCTTGCAACCGTTAATAAACATTTGAAAGATAATGTATTTTTCGAAATTGAGGTCACCAGGTGACTTATGTGAGGTTAATAGAAGCTTTCAACCCCTTGGTTGAGATTGGGGAATCTGAACCTGAGGGGGAGATTCTTAAGTTGACAAACACAAAGCTTTTCCGAGTGATTGGACTTCAGACAGAAACTTAAGATTCCCCTATCTCACCCTCAAGGGGGTGACTAATTCTTGTTCTCTTTCCCTGTTCTCTCATTATGGATCATATACAATGTAATGTTAACGTTACAGGCTATATTCAGTGTTGATGTGACGCTGATAGATTCTTGGCGCGACGTCATTGTATTGTTGACGTGACGTCATACCATTGTTATGAATAGGGGAATCCCCCCGTCGAAGCCCTAGGGTGAGAGAAGGATATATCCCACTGTCTAGTGTAAGAGAAAGATGTATCCCACATGACATTGGACACGTGCGTCTTGCAAAAATGGGAGATATATTATATACATATCTCATTTAATGCCACACTTGTGGTCACCTGTGATATGTGATGATAGAGATTTGTTTTATCTCTTTTTTTTTTATTGCTGTAAGAACATGTAAAATTTGACCTTGGGACGATGTACATGTATCTGTTACAGACGACTACCTAACCACCGTTTGAATCCCCTCTTTCTGTTCATTACTTTATGTAAAAGAACTATTGGTTAATTTAAAATAACAAAAGTGGATCCAGACAAATGTTAATAGATAATAAAACCTGTGTATGAACTTGTCCTGGCATTATGGATACCTGTACCATTGCCAAAACAGTAACTACGTACATATCTAAACATTGCGGGAAAGAAAACCACTAACATGAAATGAACAAAACTAATCAACCAAAATATTCTGCGAGTACAAAATATCCAAACATTGAGAAGATGTCTACCAACATTTAGTTCCCATTGACCGAGATTCGAACCATGGACTTGACATTGCTATACCATTCTAACCGACTCAGTCTTCTAATCAACGGAAGTCATCTCGCTCGAATGTGTTACATATATATCCAACATGACATTAAGGGAAGATTACTGTAAATACACATAGAACTAAGTGCAGTGGGACTGGTATCATTAAGATATTTTATTTTGTATAAATCATGTATTTGTCAGGTTTGTTTCCCTAAAATAAATCAGTCAGTGAAATATCATCAGAGAAGCTTTACAAACATACATTTGTGTCAGCAAGGTAGCGTGTTCAGAGACTGCAGCTTGTTTTGTTGTACATATTAACTGCTACACACAAAAACAAAACAGAAAATAGAATTGTTGTTAAATGGTCTTTTATTACTGACAGGTACAAAATTGTGACACTACAAGTTCACAATTTGTATTATCAAATATTAGTTATGTTTGATAATACATACATCAGAAGTACATTTACTTCTGTTTATATGTAACAACAGAGGTGGGTGGGGTACAAATTATGGGCTCAACAATACAAATAATATTCAACAATTTAGATATAAGCTGGCTCAAGACTTAATAAAAAGAGGTGGGATAAGTAAGGAATTTAAAGTAAACAATATCCAAAGCACAATTTATTATTCCAAAAATGTGTGGAGCTACGCAGCATATTTTTTGTTTTTTCTGAGTGATGCAGATGGTAGTCGGACAGACTCTCTCAGAGGTGCGCACATCGCTGATTGGTCAAGCTAGGTCCCTTGATCATAGGGCACGATGACCCCACCAGCTGATCCCGTGTACACGCTATGATGAATGTTCAAGCTTGACCATAGGGCATAATGACCTAATAAGCCGATCGCAGGCTATCCCTTAGTAACACGAGTGTGGTCATTAACACGTGATCGTTATAAATAGATAACAGATGGTCAACAGCTTGGTGCTGTTCTGGAGCAGGGACATTACTGTCAAGAGCCAACTTATATAATATGCAAAACACAAGTTTGTAATGATAACTAATTATACATAAAGTTACCATCTTACACAAATGTATTTATTTTTACAAAATAAATTTAATATACGTAATATAAAAATAACACTTAGCTGTTTTCTATGTTTGTGTTTTGTGTTTGTTTTTGTTTTTGGTTGCGTCCTTTCAGTTATGGAATAATACTACTGTATTTTGAAACGTGTGGCATTATATTGTGGTATCACCGTCACCAATGCCGTGCTGCATCTCATCTGAATTAGAATCAAGTTTTCTACTGGCTTACTTGATATCACTAGTTACTTTTTTAATGTGTGTATTTTGTTGTTTATAGGCAATGTTCATGTAAATCAAGGATGGCAAGCGCGTCAGGATTCAAGTCAAGTGTAACAGGTACTTTTCTTCATTTTATGCAATAACATTTTTTTCTTAAAACGAATATGTCTCTTTCATCAGAAATTGATATGGTCATACCGAACTACTTTTTCGAAATTCGAAGGATCTGATCTCGTTTTACATATCTCTCTGCATTCCGTGTAATATGTTATGAAGAAATCGAAAGATCGCAGTGTGCTGTATGATTGATTTCAGATATACACTATCTAATCAATCGTTAGCCAGATACCTGCCGTGTGCAGAATATAGAGGAGCTCCACCAATCTTAAAATCTTAACGATGTGTATGCTACATTGTCGCACGTTTTTTTTAAAGCTCCATCAGACTTCAGACTGATATAATTGAGCCTTCAAGTGTAGCATGATATATCAAAGAAATACAGAGAAGATATCCTTATATCAAAAGCGGAACTCATGGATTTCAGAGATTGTCACACTGAGACACTTTTGTATTTATAAATAAATAGAAAGTGAATCTACAAATATCGTTATGCTGATTAACCTTGTGCGGCTGGTTTTGCTAATAATAATGTAAGTTTATGAAACTAGCATCATCCCCAGTTTATTGTTGGAGCAGATGTTGCTCTTCTCTTTCTTAGAAATGGGCGGAGGGG